GAGATTGTTAGAGACGTCATCGACGACTTTCATCTCCGTACGTCCACATGGAAAGCCAGCTGCAGACTAGTGTCATCACATCGCGCATCCTGATGACGGTGGTCCTACGGCGAGGTGCAGGATCAGACGTATCGGATGTCGTCCGGGGAGAGGGAGGTCTTGTTGTGTGAGTGAGCGCTCTCTGCGAGGACGCCGGCAAGCTTCTCTTTCTCGATCATGCGGGAACGTCAGCTAGCATCTGGTTGTCAAACTCTAGCCCATGGCACGTGCGCAGAATCATGAGATGGTGAGTAGTTTATTAGTTCGCGCCCGCCGCCGGACGATGCCCTCGCTGAGCTCCGAGCCCCCGTCCGCTGGCTTGAAGTAACGGTGAAGCTCCCTGAGTTCCGGGGGACGGTGGCACCGTAGGGTCGGACGGTCCCCGCGAGTGCCCGGCAAGTAGTGGTGGTGGAGGAGGAGGAGGAGGAGGAGGAGGAGGAGGAAGAAGAAGGGGCAGACAGGAAGGAGAGAAAACGAGACCTCAGACTTGGACGTCCTGCCCCCTTCGAAGCCAGCCTGTCAACTGGTAACTACTCGGAGAGAAACAAGAGGGAGGAGGGAGTGGCGGAGATGGAGAAAGGGGACGAGGAGAAGCAGAAGGAATGGAAAGAGAGAGAAAAGGGAGGATTGAAAGATGGCGGAGGAAGTGGAGGAAGATGAGGGGACGAGAGAAGGAGGGAGGGAAGGTCAGAAAAGAAGGACAAAGGGAGGGGAGGGAAGGGGAGAGGGGTAGGGAGGAGGGGAGGGGAGGGAGGGAAGAAAGGAAGACAGAAAAGCTTACATCGCCCAGAGACATTCCAAGATCCATGAGGACGTTGCTGGGACTTACCTGGAAAGGTCATGAGAGGAGACTAGAAGGACTTTGGACGCACAGAATCTTTGTAGAGGATGATGTCTTGAATGCTTCCCCCGTGTCGAGCCTTGATCTGAACACTTTGAGCAAGTTTGAAGAGAAGGCTGAAGGAGAGCAAAGAGACAGATAGGAGAGGAGAGGAAGAGAGAGACAGAGAGACTAGCCAAGAGGGACACGAGTATAAATAGGAAGAGAGGGAGGGGGAGGGAGAGGGAGGGGGAGGAAGGGAGCTGGAGGTAGAATCTGGGAGAATGCGCAATCACCTTGTCCACGATGGTATAAAGTCTCGTCTGAGTGCTGATCTTGACTTGAATGTCAAGGAAGCTCCATACGACGAAGCGAATCTTTGAGCAGAAAAAGTAAGAATGAAACGATGGTGGAGATGGAGAAGGAGAAGGAGAAGGAGAAGGAGGAGTTGTAGATGGACATAGAGATAGAGATAGAGATGATCGCTATGATAGTGACGCAGAAAATGACGATGTCATTGGTGATGATTTTGGTGAGAACGACAGCAGTGTGAAGGAGAATGATTCAGAGAAGGAGATGGAATGATGCAACCTGCAGGTTCAACCATTTCTCGGCTTTGAAATCTACTTCCTGCAAGGATTCAAACGCAAAAGAAACATCAAAATCTTCAAAAAGACCAGAGATTGAATGACTCTCGCAAAACCGACACAAACATATTCTCATCTTCCCCCTTCCAGCTCACCGGGAAGTCTTCTTCTTCTTCTGGGGCAGCATCAGCACTACTCTTGTCTTTGCTCTTCTTGCTCTTCTTTGGCATGTTTGAGTTTTCCTTTTTCTATCGTTTCAAACTCCTCTCCAGCTTGCGTCTTGACCTTCAACCATAGAACAAGCGTGCCAAGTCGATGGCGAACTTAACTCATCGCAATCCTGAAAGTTCATCATGAAAACATCAGAGTCACTTACAACTCCTCCTCCCCATCTCTTGAATACGTCAACCATCTTTCTTAGTCTCTTCCACCTGCTGTCTTGTCCTCCTTCTCATTCGGCTTCTTGTCCTCCTCGTCCGCCCGTTCCCATCTCAAATCTCTTCATCTCAAACACTTTTTCCCACATACTGCTCCTCGTTTCTTCCCTCCTCCTCCTCCTCCTCCTCCTCTTTTTCTTCTTCTTCCTCTTCCTCCTCCTCATCTTCCTCCTCCTCTTTTTCTTCCTCCTCATCCTCCTCCTCCTCCTCCTCCTCCTCCTCCTCCTTCTCCTCCTCCTTCCCCTCGCTTTTCTTGAAGTACTCTCCATGGCGGTTGTGCCAAACTTCGAAACTTCATTTTTTGAATTCTGCATCCAAAGTTGGAACTTGCAAAGTTCAATTAGTAGATATCAGTGTTGGCGTCACTCAAGTTGAGAGTCACGGCCCGGCCCGGCCTCCAGGAATCCGATACGGTTGGCCCTTCTTTCAGGCTTTACTCAAAGTCCTTCAGTGTGTTTCCCGGAGTCCCGGGCCGAGCCTGAGTGACTGTCACACTGGCAGTTACTGAGAATTGACCGTCCCGCGGGGTCCGGGCTGCATGTACGGAGTTTATAAACTTTGAAAGAGGTGACTAAGTTAGTAAGGACTGAGAGGAAACTTTGAACTCGGGAACGGATAGATTACAACTACAAAAAGCAACGCGTCAAGCATTTCCGGGTCACGAGCCTTGACGCGGCCAGCTGGCCGTTAAGGTCAGATCATATTGGGCGCGTTTGCCCTCTTGATCTTGTACAGTTTGTGCATCTGCCGCCAACATGGTCACGTCTCGCTGACTCACGTGAGAACATGGCAACTCGGTTTCTCACCTTGAGCTTCAGCTGGTGCAGGGCGTTGTCATGGATCTGAATCTCGCCGATGATGGAGAGTCCTCCGGGGATGGAGAAGTGAACGGCAAGCGACACGTCCCTGTACCCATCCGACACCATCGACTCCGGCAGCGAGAACTTGTTCTTCACCCGGCAGACGCCCAGCCCCGTCACGCTCTCCTCCTCCACGAACCACCTAAGCACCTGCAGCACGTGGCTGGGGCCCGAGCACACGATGGAGACGCGGACGGGGTCGAGGATGTTGGCAGAGTACGGCCAGCGGCCTCGAGGATGAGGAGGCATATACTTTCTGAGCTTCTCCTGCATCCTGGTCTCCGACTTGACCGCAGCCGTGTGCAGCTCCACAGTCCCCACGCCCTCCTCGAAGGAGCAGTCGAAGGAGCAGACGACGGAGCTCTCAGAGCCATCGTGCGTGTCTCTCTTGGCAGCTTCGGGCGACACCTTGCTGCTGAGGATCTCGATGATCCTGGACCTGAAGTCATGGTTGAGGAGGGCAGCCCTGCGCGCGAGCTGCGCCACAAAGACGTTCTCCTGGGGCAGAGGGCAGAAGGAGAAGAGGGTGCTGTCCTTCTCGTGCTTGTCCTCAGCAGCGTCGATGGCCGTGTGACGGATCGCTTGCACCTGCACGTCTCAGTCAGTCAGCAGCAGCAAGAGACGAGCATGCAAGACGAGGAGGTTGTGGAGGAGGACCAGCAGCACATGGAGGAGCAGGTCAGGTGTGGGGGGGAATGTGGGGAGGAGGGCAGGGGAGGAGTCACCGTCTCGTGGTCTTGTCGATCAGGACGGGAGTGACGGGGCTCAGGAGCAGACTTGGCGTAGATGGGATAGTCTCTGCCACTACAGTCAGACCTCCCTGGTAAGCAAGGCCAGAGCAAGCTAGACCCTTTCTCTCGGATCATATCGACTGAAGTACTGCTGGCGTGATGGGCGTTTGATTCCCAGCGCCAAGCGATGAGCTCCTCTCCCCTCCTCTCCTTGGCGATCTCCAGCAGCCTCGCGTCGCAGAGAGGAACGATCTGATTCATCAGCGTCTGAGACAGCGCCTTCACCTCATTGAACAGCGAGCATGAGTCCTCCTTCAGGACCCTCAGCTTGCATATTCTCTTCTGGAAATACTCGAAGCGAAGGTCCTGGTGGTACACGTTGATCGGAATGTGTCCGTTGATCTCTGAAGCGACGGTGAAGCTTACGTTCGAGCCTGTCTTCTTCCTCGCAACGGGCTGCGGGTTCATCATGAGACTGTAATCCTGGTCTGGCTCCAGCAGCGGCTGTATGACATCCTTGACCAGCCACTCCCGCAGCTTCTGGTAGGGCAACTTCTTCATCTCCTCTGGCATCGCAAAGTTGACGCTGAAGGTGTCGAGGCTCTCGAAGCTCTGCAGGCTGACGCAGAAAGCGTCGAAGTAGTGGCCGTCAAAGTCTTCCCACAGAGCCAACTTGGCTGCTGCCTCCATGTGCACCCGTTGGATGATCACCACCGAGTCCAGCTTGGCTGACCGAGGGAGTTTCTCCTGGCTCAGGTAGAACCCGTTGGATCTCGTGATACACAGAGTCTCCCGCAGCTCGGCAATCTTCTTCGTCAGCCGCTTGTTCCCCGCGTCATCCCGCGACCTCAGCCACAAGGCGTAGACCAGCAGGCATGAGCAGATGCACAAGACACTCACACACGGCACGATGATGGCGACGTACAGATACGTCGACCCGCTGTAAACATGACATCACCGTCATCACCGACAGCTCCTCGAAAAGGCTGCAAGCAATCACCTCGTTACAGTGTCAGGTGGCGGGTCGAGGGAGATTCGTCCTCCAGGCCAATAGATGGAGTCAGCCGTGCCCTTGGTGTAGCCTGTCACAGCAGCCCGTCACTTGCGCGTCATCCCCTCCAGCTATCCCCCTCACCCGTAGTGTTCTCCCAGACTCCGATCTCCACGAAGCTCAAAGTCGTCTTGTTCCAGTCCAGGTTGCTCGCTGTCAGGGTCGCTGGCTGAACGTTCTGGAGCACGGCATGCACTCCCTTGGCCGACCTGTCGCCCGTGCTCAAGTCAAAGTCTACATCTCCAGATGCCCCGTAGAAGTCTGCGAGCCGGATCTGAGTGTTGAGGTCCGACATGTCAGGCTTCATGTTTGCCAGCCCGATGGCGATGGCCCACACGGCGTCGTACCCTAACGCGTCGTACTGGGTGCATGGCTGCTTGTAAACCTTGGCAGACATGTTGACGGTCGGGTAGTAGTACGTCCGAGGGTCTACTTTCGAGTAGTAGTTGAAGCAGCTTGACGCCAGGTCTCCGTAGATCATGTCAAGAACAACACTCAACCAACCAGCGTAGAAGCGCCTCAGCTTGCCCAGGTCTCCTGTCATGCTCTGAATGTCGGCTTCAGGGTTGTTCTGATCTGCCGTGAGCCAAGCGTACCCATCCACTCCTGTGATGCCTTCTTCTGCTGCTGCTGTCAGAATGTTCTGCAGGTTCACCGACCCCAGCGCGATGTAGACGAAGATTCTAGCCCCTGACTCCTTGAGCGTCTTGACGGCAGCTCGCAGCGACACGGAGTCTTGATCTGTGAACTTCTGGTTTGCTATGATGCTGATGCCCTTGAGGCTGGTGTACTGAAAGAAGTCTGAGATGAAAGGGTTTCCGTAGGCGTTGTCCACATACAGCACGCCGCAGGTCCGCCAGTTGAAGTGAACCATCAGGTTCACCATCGCCAAGGCGTTGATGGCAGCCGTCGGGCAGGTGCGAGAGAAGAGAGGAAACCTGATCTTGTCGCTCAGCGTGGTCGAAGTGGCTCCGAAGCTCAGCGTGGGAGTGTTGGCCAGCCCAGCCAGCACCGCGATCGTCTGCGACCCTTCGCTTCGCATCGGGCCGATAATGGCGGCTGTCTTCTCACTCGGAGCTGCTTCATACTTCTGCAGCACCATGCTCGACGTGCTTGCGTTGTTCACACTGCACGAGCTCAGCGTGTACCCGGAATACCCCTCCTCGCTCCGCCAGCGCAGCAGGTCCTGAACGGCACCCTAGCAGGAGAGGTCAGGCATCAAGACATGGGTCGCACTGCAAGGAGAGAGAGTCTCACAGGCGTTGTGAAGTGGGTGTCGGCAAACTTGTAGTGCAGCTTGAAGTTGGCAGGCAGCAAGCTCTTGGCGTTCTTGACGATTGCATCATTGCGCTCGTTCACATGGTGGACCGCCATGATCAAGGCCGTGGCTGCTCGCTGGAAGTTGGAGGGGACGAAGCCGCCCCATCCTGTAGGGACGACAGGAGACATCATGCCTATCACAAACGTTCCTTCTGCCGCGAGCCCAGTCCTCACCGTCAGCAACAAGCACAGGGATAGCATGGCGATGCCTTGGATGCTCATATTGATTGAAAACATTATACTGCTCCCGCAACAGCACGAGTTGTTATCTTTCATTCTTCCTTTTCAAACACAATGCATTCAATTCAAAAAGAAGGTTTTGAACTCGATCTCATGAATTGTTTTCCTATGAATAACACGAACGCCGTTCAATTATTTCCAGGCCATTTGAATGCATGCATCCTGCGCACGATTCCACTTTTTCCACCCTCACAAACCTCGTGGCATATCCTTCAATCTCAAGATGAACATGTATTTGTAGATCAAACTCTTGTCTTCTTCTGTCCTGCCTTACCTCCCCTTCAACGCCATGTTCTCATCTTCTCACAACCCTGTTCGCATGGGTTGTGGCGCTCTCGAGGTTTCTATGACCCTACCCATGATAAACCCCCTGCAAAACTACCCCACCTCTCACAGCAGCATTGGTTACTTTCTTAAGTTCTACCACCCTTTTTCCATCAAAGTACCCCACCATATCACATACCTTTCACTGCCGATACTACCGACCCCTTCAAAATGAACTCACAACAATGCACCCACCCTATACCAAAAATTCCCGAAACGAGGGGTTTTGTTGGTCAGTTTTCCTGTCCAAGTGGGGGGTAGTTTGTCTTTGCCTCTTTTTTCAAAAATATGTTTTATAGCACCCCCACCTAGTCAAATCATATTGTTTCTGGGGGTCCTTGTCAGAGGATGTATGGTTGTTTTGAAAACTACTAGTTTCGGAACAATTCGCACTTTGTAGTAAAGATCTCATGGTAATCCCGGAGCGGGCCCGCAGTGATCCCCCACGCCGCCTCCGGGTCCGAGTCACTGCTGCGCCGCCGCCAGGCAATGCGAACGCCGGAGAGTCTGGCTGTAGGTCCAGCTGCACACATCCGAATGCCACGCTTAAATTCCTCGAGCTGATTTAATGTTGAAACTCAATAATTGAACTTACGATCGAATTCTGCCAACCACTGCCCACCCTCTTCGGTAAGTCAAAGGCCGGAATAGCCGATCCGGGAGCTTGGAACAGGAGCTGGCAAGTGCTGAGAGGCAAGAATGCTCAAGGCGAGAATGCTCAAGTTGCGCGTCAACAGCGTCCCTGCCACCCACCATTCGGTTCCTTCTGCATGGATGCGCACTGCGGCATAGCCCAGACTTCCTTCCTCTTCCTGTTGCTGTCAGTGTTCCCTTCATGCGTGCCGCAGCAAGTTTACAAGACCTGCTTGAAGCAGTCTGATTGTACCGACCCCTCATTTCCTATTTGCAAGATCTTTTGGAGCAATGCAGGAGTCAGCAGCATCCAAAACTCTTTGCAGCAGTACGACGCCAAAGGAGTTGTGTCCAGTGCACTTGCGACTGCGAATGCCCGGTAGGACAATATTGCTCAGCTGAATTTAGCCTGCCGACGTTCTCGACAAGTTTTTTGAGCACCAGCGACGCTTATAACGTGCAGCTGCTAAGCCAGGCATACGAAGGCCTTAAGATTCGCAGCATCTGCAAACCGATTGACACTTCCACAAGGGGCACTTGCTCTGCTCTGTCATACCTCCAAAGCGATCACATCACCTCCGTTGCTCAAGGAGGCCCGTCAGGACGGTAACACGATGCAAAATTACCTCAGTGTGTTGAAACGTCTAATTAATTCTTGTTTGGTTTCACACCAGCAACGCCATCGTTCTTGACTCGCATGGATACCTCTCAAGATCAGAATCGAACAGGTTCTGCGGAGCGGTCAGTAGCTATGCCGGACAATACCTGGGCTGCGTGGGGGATCTTTGCAACTCGATCAACTCTCTTACGAATCCTCTGCAAGGAACTGCAGCCGTCTGCAGGAAAGTGAGAAGATCAAGATGAAGTAAACGGCCAACAACTGATTAAGTTGCAGATCATCAACTCTACACGATTTACAGCATTCATGCCGTCGAACAGTTTGTGTGCCACTTCTATAACTGGGTTGACTTCAAATGGGTGTGTACTCTTTCGCATGCCCCTCTGAGACAGCAGTGGTGACCGTCATGGCATCAGATTCAGTTTCACAAGTGAAGCGTACGATTGGACGGGCTCATGCCAGTACGGGAAATGCCAACAGTATTCATCAGCAGCCATGTGCTGATGGGAAATGCAGTCTGACATGAAGATGCAGGTGCTCACAGTTGGATCAACAGTGCGGAGCCGTTGGGTACTCTTCATGTGGAAGCAACGGTGTAGCACAGATTTGCATGAACGGAAAGGTGAGATGAAAACTTTGACACGATGTAGTAGCAACTGGTCTGACTTGAATGCATACCTTCCCTTCCCTGTTGCAGTGGGTCAAATTTGTTCCTTCAACAGGCTACGACTGGAGTTACGCCAACATCCACAACAACGTGTACTCCCAGACGCTGGTGATGTGTGCTCCTTGCGGGAGAACGACGTTGCTGACTGTCTGCGATGGTCCTCAGATCTCGATAAGCTGCTTCTGCGCTCTTTCCTTCATCTTCATGTGTCTCAAGTCAGGAGTGCGAATGGTCAGGCCATCTGGCAAGGTGTCCAGCAACGTAGAGAGCTTGCAGGAGGCTTGGAATCTTTCTACTTGATTCATACAAACATGTATACTCATACGGGATCGAGATGCAGTCCTGTTTGAGGTGGGCGAGTTTGATCTACCTGATACCCTGATACTTTATTGTTTGAATGATCACTTCATTGCGTTATGCTTCCCCCGTTCCCCTCTCCTCGACCTCTGCAAGGTGCCGTTGTGCTATCTGCCATCTCCCTATCGAATACTACTTCCAAGGAGAAAGTCAAGGTCGTTGGTCCATCCTCTAATCCTCGCTATATTCTTGCAGCAGCTTTCTTTCCTCTCTTCCCTCTCCCCTCCTCTCTTCCCTCGTCCCTCTCCCCCATCTCCTCCCCCCTTCCATCTTCCTTTCCTCCTCACTCGTCCCCTCTTCTCTTCTCCTCCTCACTCGTCCCCTCTTCTCTTCTCCTCCTCACTCGTCCCCTCTTCTCTTCTCCTCCTCACTCGTCCACTCTTCTCTTCTCCTTCTCACTCGTCCAGTCTTCTTTCACCCCCTCCCCCTTTCCACCGATTGCCATCCGTCCGCTGATTCGTCCGTTCCAGCGTCCGTTCCAGGCGGGCAGGGGGGGAGGGGGGAAGAGGGCCACTGCGAGATAAAGTGAGATTGTGAAGGAGCCGGGAAGGGGAAGGGAGGAGTGGGGACGGGGCGGGAGGAGGAGGAGACGAGAGGAGACGAGACAGAGAGGGGAGGGGAGAGGGGGGAAGGGGACAGGGAGCAAGAGAGGGAGGGAGGAAGTGGGGGGAGGGGAGGAAGGAGAGGAGAGACAGAGGGGAGAGAGAGAAGAAAGGAAGAAGAGGGATGGAGGCGAAGGCGAGAGGAGGGAGTGAGGGGTGGAGGGAGTCAGACGAGACTTGAAAGGGGAAAACTCTGCGCCTGCTGATCTAACGTCCTCACTGCTCCATTCGCAGATGTGCATGGAAGGTGGGGAGAGGGAGGAGTAGGGAGGAGAAGATCGAGCAGCCAAGAGCATGAACGAGGCCGGTGAAGTGGTGGAGAGGCAGAACCAGGTCCATCACAACGTCGTCAATAAGGTTCTGCATGCATGCCTGGGGCTCTAGGCTCACGGCTGGACGGTGTAGGTGTTTGGTTACCTGGGGGTCTGCCATTTTGAGCATGCGGCGAAACTTTGCGGTGGCCCTTCCTTTTCACTTCCTCCCTTCTCTCCCGTCCCTCCCCCGTCCTTGCGCCGTTCTCTTCCTCCCTCCATCCATCCCTCCCTCCCTCCCTCCCTCCCTCCATCCATCCATCCATCCATCCATCCATCCATCACTTCTTCCCTCCCCACTCCCTCCCTCCCCACTCCCTCCCTCCCACTTTCTCCTCATCTTCCCACTGAAATTTGCTCTAGAGATGAAGAAGCACGTGATCAACTCTGCCTTCTCGTTCCTGCATTGGCGGGGAGGGAGAAACGAGACCTTCTGCGATACAATCGTGAGAGTGATAGGAGCAGAGCGGGATCTCGTGCGGATTGTGGAGCTGAATGGACAGCAACGACAGGATCTGTTCCTGACATTTCAAGGTTTGGATGCCATCTCATATCATATCATCCCACCCCATCCCATCCCATTTCATCTCATCTTATTCCATCCTGTTTCATCCCATCCCATCCCATCCCATCCCATCCCATCTCATCCCATCTCATGTCATCCCATCTCATCTCATCTTATCTTATCTCATCTCATCTCATTGCCTGTTTCTTTTTGCATGTTCCTTTAATCCATCTTTCCCCATCATTTCTCTCTTCTCGTCGAAGACACTCATTCTTTCCTCAGGAACCGCTCAAGATATTTCTTCCGCCCTCAACAAAGTTGGATCCACCAAGAGCAAGATGGGAGCAAACTCTGCCAACACCATCTTGAACGCTTTCATAGGAGATGTTGTCAAGATCCTCAGATCGCGATCAGAACTGATCCGCGTGTTGCGGATGCTCAGCGAGGAGGATGGGATGCGGGACTTGCAGGTAACGGAACTTGGGGGGTGGCAGGAGGGAGCTGAACGACGCCGCTGGCAGAGCTTGATCGATCTGCTGATTGGAGCAGAAGCGTACGGGTGGGCGAGCGAGAGTTTTTCCTCTTCAGATCCACTGATTGTGAATCCGTACAAGGAGAGGGCTGAGCATGAGGTGAGGGAAAACTCGAGGATGGTGTTGAAGTCTCAGATGTGAGGAGATGGTGCGATGGAGAGGAGGAGGTGGAGGAGGAGGGACATTGTGGGAGGTCAACGGAGTAGCAGTAAGAGGGTGAGAAGGTAAGAGGAAACGAGCTTGAAGGTCGGGTGAGGGGGGAGGGAGATGGTTGGAAGAGAGGGGAGGAGAGAAGGGGATGAGAAGAATACTTAGAAACTTTGTCTGACTTTGAGCTGCAGAACAGCATTCTCATCAAGCTCTTGCAAGGGTACAACTACGTTATGAACTACGATCTTCTCGGGAGCACCAAGACACTCTATCAGGCAAATGCGCTCCTGATGCAGGTCAAGGAGATTGTTCAATATCGAAATGTCAGCGGGCAGGCTGGAGGGCGGAGGATGATCTCGGAGTGGTGGACACAGATGGATGGGTAAGCGATGATGAGAAGGAGAAGGAGCAGGAGCAGGAGCAGGAGCAGGAGCAGGAGCAGGAGCAGCAGGTGGAGGTGGTTAAGGAGGAGGAATAGCAGCGGAGAGAAGAGGTTTTGATCAATTCTTTGACGCTTGTTGCAGGTATTGGGGAGGAAACACCACCAGAGCCCTCCAGCAGTTCTTGAACTCCGTGCGAACTGAGAACGGACAGGACGACTGGGACGCTCTCTCTGTCGACTCAAACTTCGGGCCAAAAACCATTTCAGCGTTGCAGAAGTTTCTCGTTAGGGAGAGGCAACGGCTAACGGCCTGTAACGACGACGTTTCTTACCGAGGGAACACGCCCAAGTCCCTCAATGTCAAGCATTCGGTTGTCATCGTCGGGTCAAACAAGAATCCCCAGCAGCTGCTGAGCTTGTGGCCGGAGATCGCGGTCGACGGGCTCTGGAGCAAACCGACTAAAACTGCGCTGCAGGCCTTCCTGAAATCCAAGGTGATTGAGGAAGGGGGGGAGGAGGGAGAGGAGGGGGATAAGAGATGGGGAAGAGGAGAGGAAAGGGAGGAAGGAAGGAGAGAAGGAGCGTGCGAGGATGGGCGAGGTGGAGGAGTCTGTACTTGGATTGATCCATGTTCATTTGGGAGGTAGAGGAGTGATGAGGAGGA